TAAAAAGCATAACTCTACGAATTTCTTTATTTTGTTAGATAGTTTCTTGAAAAGCAGAAGGCGCTAAGACTCATGTTTTTCCCCACCTGCATATAACACTGTTCCCTTCTTTTCGAAAGGAAATGGAGCGGAGAATTAAGATACCTTAAATGTTTATTCCTAAAGCAAAATGTCGGAGCATATCAAGGTTGTTTATGAAAGCTGATGTTTTACTTTCTAGCTGGTGCGATGCCATTAGAAATCTATTGCTATTCATATATTATTGGTATGATGGCAGAGCGATATATTCAATTCTGTCGGCATGGTTTCGCTAATTACTTTAGTTTCTGGTGGCGTTGGTAAGCAATTTCATGAACGTATAAGCTACCCAAATTTGAAGAACCCGTCACTTTTCATTTTACGTTTTTTACACATGCTAAAAAGTTTATCTACACATTGAGTTAAGTGTTCTAACCCCTAACGTTTAGGTTTGATTTTATGCTTATCGGTATATTTTGCCTCGCGCTACATTTATGGATTACGGGTGTTCTCATGCCTATGGAAGATGATCTACAAGAACTCAATAGAATTCATTGGGTAGGTTTTTCTGTCTCATTATTTGAAGGAAGTAAATCAACAAGGTCATTCCAGCCAGCCTGGGATTATTTTCTCATTTATGATATATACGTCTGTACAGGCTGCATCCTAGGTATCTGGAAGATATTCTACTTCTTCCAATTGATAAAGGGAATCGGAGGAAGTGTGGTAAGTTGAAACGAACTATCCACTGATACGTTTCCAAGGTAAAGATTTTCAGATATCAGTTGGTCGTTGCGTTTCGACCATATACAACTACTTGATAGTAATGGCTGTCATTATGGTTTCCTTCGCGGTTGGCATCAATCTACTCGTGCAGCCTTATCTAAATAGTGTAGTCGAGAATGAAGGCGGTACAACGACTAGAATGGGAATACAATTTAGAAGGTAATTTGATGCAATCAAAATCACTACTCAACATCGAATATTTTTAGTATCTTCTTTACTGTGCGAAACTTGTACTGGGCAGTTTACGGATATCTTGATCCCAACACTTATACTATTATAAATGGAAATTCGGGTCCAGAATTCACGCCTGTTGTTCACTACATTACGTCATTTGCTACCGAGGTATTTGATCTTCCTGTCTTTTTGCTCAAATCACATTCAATGGACATAGAAAACCTCAACTATGATCAGCAAATTACGATATGAGGTTATTTTTAGGATTAGGAAACTATAAAAGAAAATTATTCTAAGTGTCAAGCATGAGAAATGCGGCTAGCTGTAGCGGAGCTTCCGAATATGTAGTCTTGTTCCATTGATATGGTATATAAATATAATATTACCAACCCTTCAGGAGCAACGGTTAATAGAACTCAAAACTATAACTGATTTGTACTTCTGAAGCATTTTCGCTCAAATAAAGCGCAGCGTTTCGAAACAAGTGAAGTCCGAACAGGACTACAATTTAGTGAAAACCGCATTCGTTAGCGTTTTCGCAAATTTGCTCAGCCCATTTCAAAACCTTGAAAATGATGCCGACGAATCTAAACTTTTTTGAATTTTTTTCTTCGTAAATTTGGCGAACTTTGGAAGCTAACGGACATTTGCGAAAGTGCTCATCGGTACACCCGAGATTAGCATCTTAATTTGAAGCAGGAATTA